AGTGACCTTTGTTAAATATTGTGAATTTGCTTAAAAAAGAAATGAGTAGTTCTTATTGAGTTGATGGATTATTCATATTCAGCTGAAAGAGACACGTAGCACGGCTTCTGGTGATATCTCGCAGAGTACCGTATCGTTCGTATTAGATCGTTCAATGAATAGTCAACCAGTTAGATGTGAAGCTGAAAATGGTGCTCTAGATGAACCACTGGTTGCGATTAAAATTATTACAGTATTATGTAAGTTGTTATTATGACTGTTATTCATTATTATCTCATTATTATCATTAATATTATTAATAATAATATTATTATTATTATTATTGTTAACATCTTACATAATTATTATCAATTACTATTGTTCATATGGATATTTCAAAGGATATCTAATCATCACCTATAATTAATTTGTTAATTGCATTTTGCTCAAACATCGCACCTTTTGTCGTTCTTCAAAAATTTTCGTTTATCGCACGCACTTCACTTCCTTAGCGTGAATTTTGTCGTATAACAAAGAAGTATTGCAGTTGCTCCACGACGTGTTGTTGTTCGTGCAGATGATCGTACGCGTAGGCAGATGATTGCTGGTGAATCGAGTCAGTTGGTTTGCGTTGTGCCGTCGTCGAATCCTGCCGCTGAAATCAGTTGGCAGTTCTCGAATGATGATCATCCGTCGACATTACATGGCAAAAATAAACATAATAAAACGTTCGTTGATTAGTCCCTTAATGATGCTTCGTTCATTTTTTTTCATTCAAAAAACGTCATCTTGGAACCAGGGCAATTTCGTTTGTTTACGTTATCATTCATTTGTTTTTCTTGATAAAGAGAGCAGTTGCATTTAGCAGAGGTAATTGGAAACGAGGCCAAAATTGATTGGTTTTCGTCGAATGGTTCCACGATAACTAATTTATGCTGTGAACGCTGAATTCTAAAAAAAAATTTTCATCCTCAAATAGAGTATTTTAGAAGTCGTGAGTACGATGGATTCGAGGTTGAAAATGTTCTTGTATTTACACCATCAATCGATATGGATGGTACGGATGTGAAGTGTATTGCGTCGCACCCGTTGTGGAGTGATCAGAAAGTCACATCATTTCCACTGAATATATTATGTCAGTTCATTCAGCAACGATTCATTTTCTATCACTTTATTTGGTTTTTTTGATTTTGACTGCAGATGAAAGCTAAGAAAGAAGAAATCGTGATGCTATTCGAATTCGAATTTGACTTCATTCAAGCATTTTCTCATCGTTTAGTTGTCATTTGCAAGATGTTTCAGTTCATTAGCATGTGATCGATCAGTATGGTGTACGAAAATGTTTACATGTGATTTTCAGATGCTCCACAAATGACAGTTGATGGACCAATAACGATTGTAGTTGATGAAGGTGATTCATTCAAAGAAAATCTCACGGTTCGAGCAAATCCACCAGTTGCTTCTTGGCGATGGCGAAAAAATGGCGTTCCCTTCGACAAAACTGAGGGTGCAATTTTTGCGAGAGGTGAACACATAAGATGTTGTTTAAATGAATTTATGCCATTTTTAATTGTAGTTTTCATCAGTTTCAAAAGGTTTTTCCTTAAATGACTGAAACTAATTTTCCGGTCCAATGCTATCTGGTAGATCGGTGAGTGGATTTGATAGTGGTCTGTACACATTGATAGCCGTGAATAGTATTGGAACGGTGAATGTCTCATTGCGTCTCACTGTCAAATGTAAGTTCAGTTCATTGTAATTTTTATGAATAATATTTTTTACTACACTTTTTCTGCTGGCACAGACACTTGAAGTTTACTACAAAGTATTGGTTAAGATGCGGCACGCATAACACATATAACATCACCTGTTATGGCAGCCGCTGGAGAAGAGGTGGTTATGGAGTGTGAAGTTGATGGAGTACCTCGTATCAGTGGAATGGTGAAATGGCTTCGGAATGATAAAGTTATCGATACGGTCTCTTTTGATGGGCAAACAAGAGCTGTCCTCAGGTTGAATGCATCGCAAGAAACCAGCGGTGCTTATACGTGTCTTGCGGATAATGGTGTTGGAATGGTAAATACTTTCATGAAACGTCGCTGATGATAATGAGACAGAATTTGAAGCTGACCAGTCAAATTCAAGAATAAATTTTTTTAGCTTTTTTCTTTTCTGGTTGAAAGCGCTCATGAAACTACATTTTATTCATTATGGACGAACTGAATTAGAGCATTATTACTACTGTAAATTTCAAACACAATTCTTAAAGCGTTTAAGAATGCGTAATATGACAAAATAGTTTTAATTATCGAAGCAGAATCGTTCCTGGAAAATAAACATGAGCGGTAGACATACTTCATTGAATTAAGCAGTGTTGATATTCAGCCGAACCGTACAAATGCGTATTTGTTGGTGAGTCGAGCACCTTCAATAACACGACGCGCATCGTTACTGCGGGCCGCTGGTCCATTAGGCGGTCGTGCACGTCTCAGGTGTAGAGCTCACGCAGTACCTGATGCCACTTTCCATTGGAGTATTCAAGGAAATTCTGGAACAATTCGTTACAACAATACTAAATACTCATTCTATGAAACGCAACTTGATCACTCCACATTTGAGGTATGCTGTCTCTGATTTGTACTAAAGCAATGGAACCTGCCGGTTGTTTGTTTTCAGTCACCGATTACGAATTTTAATTATGTTCCGAACAGTCATAAATGATATTGCAGAGTGTTTTGTG